TCATCAGAGTGCATAGCAACCGTAATAAAAAACTTGGAAGTGTTATCCGCAAATGCAACCACCAAGACTAAACGCCAAATGTTATTCTTCATTATAGGAAACACGCTAGAAGGCCGCAACGCTACACTGTATCATACTGTATCAGACAAAGTGGTATTAGTAATAAGCGGATCCATACCCATCGACCTCTTGGCATCTTAAGGGAAAACAAGCATCCTAAAGGAAAACAAGCTGGATACTCAAAAAAATTATGGGTCAGCAAAGCTCTTGTTTAAACCACAAGAGAGAACATAAGAAGGAAATCCGGTAGCAGTGGCAAAACCGGTAATTAAAAACCGAGGCCGATGGACGGCAAGGTTATTTGGACTAACAAGAAGTCATAAGTGCGACAGTTTTTGGAAGACATATGGCCTCAACAAGTCTTTCCGATATAATTACATACGCCATTAACTACAATTTTAGAAATTCTTTGAAGTCTCTCGTCTGTCAATGACGTGTTACTAGTTCATAACACTGATTCATTCGGAGTGGAGTATAGTTATTATCAACGAATTCACGGTTCTAAGAATTGGATAACTTTTGAAGAAAATATTTCCGGAGATTTAAAATTAGTTTGTTATTCAACGTTTCGATGTCAATATGAATCCTTCTGCTATTCTTTCTGTCAGCGAAGAATTTGGATGATGAGTCTTATATATTAGTTGCTGTGCGAATTATCCGCTGCATATTTTCTAGTTCGGTTGTTGACCATTTTATAATTCGAAACTATACGTTAATTCAGGTGAGATACCTGTAGCTGAATTAATCTCATAAATCTGATTTCTTCCATTAAATTGAGTAGAGCATAAAGCATGGAATCGTCTTCTAAACTCCCCCACCAGTTTTTTCTCCTTTACTAAAAGATGCTTGTATGCCCATTTGTTTCCATTTCTTTTATGACAAGGCTTAGGAAAAATGGCTCAGTGGACCATGTTTCACCACATATCCAGATCCAGTATGCCGTAGAACATGACTGACGGGATTTTTGCTTATGGTGAACCAGAGTGGACCTTGGAGATTCCATTACTGATGTTATTTGATTTTATATTTATTAATTTAATTTTGGTTTGAATTATTTTAATATTTTTTATTTAATTTTTTTTTTTTTCATTAGAGTAATTGTACATAGTACACTACACGAATACGCTTAACAACAAAATACTTGAAACAGTTATTGTTATACATTGAATTGATGTACATATTAGGTAAAGTAAAAAGTTCGCTCGGTTTTTATCTAAGAGATGACGTTATCGTCCATAGTACTAGTGTTACATATCGCATCATGTCATACAATACGGCGCTGAAAACCTGTTTATTCGCGCTAAAAGTTTGTCTTTGACAGTTTTTCGATTGATTGACTCAATACGTTGTGAGCGCTCGTCAAAGATGGACACCAGCAAAGAGAACATTCGCTAAATTTTACAATTTTTCTTCGATAAGGCGGAAAAGCAGCCAAAGCAGCTGAAAAAATTTATCTAGTTTATGGGCCCGATACTGTAAACGAACGTGTAGCCCAAAAGTGGTTTGCTAGTTTCCGTTCCGATAATTTCGATGTCAAAGATGCACCACGCGTCGGGAGGCCTGTCGTCGGAAATTGCGAAAAAACCATGGAAATAGTGGAAACAGACCGTCACGTGAGCACTTATTTAATTGATGAGGAACTAAAGATAGGCCAGAAAACCGTTTGGAACCATTTGCATAACCTTGAAATCAAAAAGAAGCTCGATGTTTGGTGCCACACGAACTAACGCACAAAAAACATGATGGACCGAATTTCGTCTGCGAATTGCAGCTCAATCGCAACAAAATCTATCTGTTTCTGAAGCGGATTGTGACCGGCGATGAAAAATGGGTCACTTACGACAACATCTAGTGCAAATGGTCGTGGTCAAAGCTAGGGAAAGCGGCCCAGACGGTGGAAAAGACTGGATTGACGGCCAGGTGGTATATGCAAGGAATCATCTACTACGAGCTGTTCCCCTATGACCAAACGCTCAATTCGGCCCTCTACTGGCAACAAATGGACCGCTGGAAGGCAGCAGTCATCCAGAAGAGGCCATCTTTGATCAATAGTGTTTGGTTTTAGCCTTTTCTGTTACGTGTCGCTTTTTCTTCATTTTAAGTTTGTTGAGACTTTTATTTACAGCTTTGAAGATAACTCCGGTAGATGACACTGTATTCTCCACTTTTCCTTGACTTGTTATTTATGCTACGGTGTGATATTCTCTGCACTTCTTTATATAGCAATCTTGAAGATTATAAGTGCTTGGTAACCCTATGTCTATTAGGGGTGCGCGCCTTTATTGCTTTTGTGGAGAGGATGATCCGTCAATATTGATCGATTCCAATAAATTTTCTCTAACCTTTTTTGCGGGTTGCATTTGAAATACGGAAATTTTTCCGTAATTAAACCATATAGGAGCACTAAGCGTTGGTGTACACTCTTAGCGTTGTGAGGCACATGCGCCTGTAATGTGATGAATAGTTTCAGCAGGGCTTTTGTCATCGTCAACATGAATCGTTTTCAACGGCATCGCGTATAATATACTTTTTGTAGTTCTTTGCTGCTATAAATTTGTCCTCCATAGCGCACATAAAACTTTCAGTTTCGGAAAAAATTCCGGGTCGACTTAGCCAATAATAGCTTTTGTGTCTATTTCCAGTTGATCGATTGCGTACGCGCACTTTCCGTGGATCGATTTCGATTTCCATTGCAGTAGTAATGATTGAAAGTACTCCGAGTCTGACGATGAGGTGTCACCTAAATCTAAAGTTGACTCTGTTGCTGATGGAAATACCGCCTCAGGTACTTGACATCTGCCATGCCTCACCTTGCTTGTCTTCGTGGTAGGTAGACGCGTTTTACGGCTGATCTTGGATGGTCGTGCTTTTCAAATTTGTGTGAGATCATTTTGTGTTCCAAACTTGTGGGATTGATGCTTATTTATTTTAGTTTATTTTATTTTATTTGATTTTCATTTACTTTATTTAATTGTGTTTTATTTAATTTTTGATTCGGTTACTTTACTTTATTTTGTTTCATTTCTGAAAGTATTATTAGTTAGCACATCAAGGAATTTTTGGAAAGTTTGATGGCCTGTGCAATTTATTTTTGAAAATTTGGTTTACAAAATATTTATATTACAAAATATATATATATATATATATATATATATATATATATAAAGCTTAGTTTCCAGACCAAGGGCGAAATGTTACCGAAAATTCATACAAATTCGGTTTTAGGCGCCAATGAAATAAAAGTGTACACATCATACATATATACAATATGATAGAGCATGAACCTTTCATAAGTATGTACATACGTATTTAAACCTCAGAAGATTTCAAAACGTGGCATATAAGGTATTAAAATGAGAGCGAGAGACAAAAATGCTACAAATAATCCATATTAAAAGAGCGAAAATCTACCAAATAATTCTTTACTTTAGTATGACAAAGTGAAAATTTGACATGCTTGTATGCATATGTATTATATTATGTACAGTAACAAAACAATTTTTGAAAACAACAGCGATAAATGAAGTGGATAAGCAATTTGTGTACGTATGCAGAAATAGCTATACAAAGCGAATACAATAAAAGATAATATTTAGGTAATGTATATACATATGTATGTATCTAGGTAGCTTTATAATAAATATGCACGAATGCAGATATTTGTGAGGTTAAAGTATTTAAAAAAATATCACATTTCTTTAGCGACTTACAAAGCATGTCGCTATGAAACAAAACGTCTCAAGAAATCATCTCTATTAATTTTTTTTTTAAATATTTTTTTTTTATTGAATTAGTCGCTTATAAGTAAAATATTTTGCTTGAAATTTTCATGATCGATGTTGGTTCGCACTTGTTAAATTAATAATAATAATAAGCCTAAAGGTATGCTACATTGTTACAATTTTTATGACCCGAAAATATTGTATTTTCGATGGAATTTCAATATCAAGGGAGAATACCTTCAATTGAGCTGTAAAAATTTACAAAAAGGAAGATTTTAGATGCGATTAGTACAATATTAAGGATTTTTGAATTAGACCCAGCGCCTAGAATTAGGTTTGAAAAATGATACCCAGCCCTATAATCTAAATAATGTTCGTCTTAATTGTTATTATTTTTATTGATATTCAATTCAAAGGTTTGAGTAGCATCATCTTGGCCAACTCGTTAGCTTTTTCGTTGCTGAAAATACATACATATTTCTATGGCCGGCATCTCAGTTTAGCCTTTTCTATGATTGACACTTCTGCTGGGAACTTGCTACACGGCTTTGATAGGCGAAAAGAGTGGGGAATGTGAGGACGTCAACATATTTTGGATACCTTTCGCGTAAAATTTGTTTTTAAGTTGCTTACATTTTATACTTGAAATATTTTCATTTCAGATGTGAAATACATTTTATTTAAGAAATAGAACATACAAGTTTTTATAAATATCACTATATACATAGATCATATATAGTCATAATATTTTTCTTTTTTGAATTGAGAACGTGGTTATTTCCCCACAAACAGAACAAATAAATTACGATATTTTCACAGTCATACACCACTGTTCCTAACGGGCTTGTTGTACTTATTTTGTTTTTGTAAATTGGCAGACATATTTTTAATATTTTGCATTAATAACAATTTTGGCAGTGGCCGGAAAGAATGCTACCGGTACGCTGTAAACATGATCGTGCTCACAGAGGCACATACACATTCATACATCGATGCAAACAAAACAATTTTTGTTTCATTGTTTTTTTTTATGTTTTTTGTCAAGTGCACGCCGGCAAGTGGAGCTTAAGCTTTGCGCGCCTGAATTTCTACCCACAAGTGGTTACATACATACATATAATATTAGTACATACATATATACATACGTGCTTGCGTTTGCTGCTCGTCACAACGAACAACTGCGACAGAGAGTCGAACGCGCTTAAATGCCTTCATTTAAATTTTAGTCGTTTGATATACGCCGTCTACGACGCGTCGCTAATTTCAAATTGGTCTTGTGTATTTAATTTTTTTTTTTTTATTTATAAATTTGTGTGTCTTGAGAATATACGATTCGGTAGACGTTTATTTTGTATGTAGACATCAGTGCGAATCTTGTGCAAACGCACTTAATTTATAACGGGAAAACAAAGGTGTTTTTAAAGGTATTAAACAAAATTAAATGAAAAATATATAATATTAGAAAAAATTATGTTAAAAAAATGGAAATAAAATTACAAGAAAAAAATTAGATTGAAACAATAAACTATTAAAAAAAAAAAACAATTAATATGAGTAATGAATGAAAGGGAAAAAACGAAAAACATGTGGATATGTGCAAAAATAGGTAAAATAGTGTTTCTCTGTGGTCATTATATATACATACATAAATACGTATAAACATTAGATTTGTCATTACTCTAAAATAATATTACAATATATATATTATATAATGATAAATTCATATAAACGCATATAAATTCATATGCATATTACCAAATTTGAACAGTCAAGTGACGCGCAAAAGTTTTTGGGATGCAAATTAGATTCGTTATCAAAAAAAAAAAAAAAGAAAACGAAAATAATACTGGACTACATACATACATATTTATCACGCAATATTTATAAATATTATCAGCTGTTGTAGGCGTTGTGGTATAGAAAACAAAAATGTAATTCATTATTGTAATTAAAGTGTCCAATGCATGCTATGTACATACATGTACATATAAATACATCTATATATACATACCAACGAGGATATACATACATATTTTTCTGTTCCATTCACGCGCTTTTTAATGTCAATAAAAAGCAACTTTGTATGAACTGATACGAGCCGGTGTATTGTTTATAGTGATTATTGCGGTTAGTTATAGTGCGGAAGCAAGAACTGGCAAGAACTGTTGTCGTTTTATTTGTGCACTTGTGCTCTCGGTTCACATAAACAGAAACAGCGTATCACAACAAAGTTGTAAAAGCGTGGAGAAAGAATACAAAAAAAAAGAGATTCCGCAAGTGGTAGCTATTGATTAGAGCAATGTGAGCAATATTTATTTACAAAAAAAATATATATATAAATATAAATAAATAAATAAAAATAAATAAATAAAAATAACTAAATAAAAAAATTAAAATAAATAAATAAAAATAATTAAATAAGAAAACAATAATAAGAAAAAATAAATTAATTAAAATCAATTAAAATATTATATATTTATTTACAAAATAATATATTTAAATTTAAATAAATAAATAAAAGTAAATAAATATCAAAAAAATATATATAAGAGTAATTAAATAAAAATAAATAAATAAAAAAAAAATAATAAAAAAAATAAATTAATCAAAATATTAGTGAAAAAAGGAAGCATACATACATATATGCAGAGGTATATATTTAAACTCGCAAATGTTAAATTCTGAATTTTTAATGTCCTCTGCATAGCTGTGTATATATGTATTATATAATTAATTCCTACAAACTGCAAATTTTTCGTGTAAAAGTAAAGCTTAAAATGTCTATATCCGTAAATATATCTAAAAAGTATAGAGCATAAATCGCACAAGAAGTCAATGGCACTGTGGATAGCGTAAGAAAAATGAAAAAAAGAAAATCAAGCTTAAAGTGAACAAAAAGCGCGCAAAAATGTGCGCAATGCACGTACATATATAAAAAAAAAATACAAACATACATAGCTATATTACTGCGTATAACTTTTCTTTAGGCCTAACTAATTTTCATACGATTTTTGAAACTCGAAAAAATTTGTGGGTATATTTTGTCGTTTGCAGCACGAAAACTGTGAAATATTCCTAAAAGGAGTGGTATCATGATCATAATAATAATAATAACAGTAATAACATTAATATTAACATTTTAATTAAAGCTAATAAACAAATGTGAATCAAATTAATTTATGTACATACATATGTACACACAAACATTCGTTTAAAGTAGAACTTTAACTGCGCAAAAAATAAGCTAAAAAAGCACCACAAGTTTGAGCAAATGAAAATGTGAATAAATTTTGGGTATAATTTTTTTTCGTAACTTCAATAAAATATTGTGTGTTCAGGAAATTTGTTATCATGAAAATTAACACAAAAGTAATTATGTGTGCACTAGTGAAGTACTTTGAATTTAGAGTACTTTTTTCTTTTTGCCAGCAGGAGAATTAAAAAAAGCTAAAACTAGAAGACATACAATTTTTAAAATTAAAAATATTTCGTTTGAAAAACTTTGAAGTAAAAAAAAATCGATGTTTAATAAAAAGTGATGATGTGGATTGCTGACCCAATTTTCATAACAACTATAGGGACTGATATTTAACTTTTTTTAACAAATAAAGAGTAAATATCTCTTACTCTTTTAGTATATCGAAAATCCCAGCGGTGGCTTAATTAAATTTCATCTATCTATTTGTCTATCTTCAGTGCAGCAAAATTTTAGCTGAAATAAACAAATGAGCTTTGATTCCAAAAAACTACTTCTGCATCATACAATTTTCTATATGCTTCTCATCTTAATGGGTTGAAGATATGCCAAGGTCGTAAGAGATCTTGAGCCTCTCCAAAACTTTTTACATAAATTGGTAAATATGTTAGTCGTTATCCTAGCACATATAATCTCTAATGAGTGTTCGAAAAATGATCATTTTAGTTATTTTCACCTAAGGGAAGAACTGTAATTACTCAGAGCAACAAAAAAGCACAACAGATCTTAGGCAGTGATTTAGCTAGACCCCCAGGGGGCCAGTATTTTCAGGCAAGTGTTTGAAGTTGTTGTTCTTGACTAGAAGAAAACTATTGGATCTTTACACCAACTGGTATATCTCCCATCTAAAATTTTTTTCCAGCGGGATCAAGAGTTTCTGTGAGAGAAGCGTAATGACATTATTTTCCAAATGACAAAAATTTATCGAGCAAAACGTTGCATATTTGGCATAAATCGGATGAATCTAGTTATGGTAAATGAAGCCTTCCATTTAATGCAAAACTAACGCATTATTTTATAAGAGACTTATTATTTAATGAAATATATATATATATATATATATATACTTGCAGTTTTAAAATAAAGTAATGGATTAACGGTAAAATAAATATTTGATAGAATACGTTTTAAAATTATTTGAGCGTAATGATCTTAGCCAAAAAAAAAAATAGTGTATTCCAAAAAATGTAAGGGAAAATAAAAAACTCAGTATGAAAAAGTAAAACAGAGATGGAGTGGGAAATAAATAGTTCAATATTATATGTTTTTCGTATTCTAGGATTTCCGCTAAAATAAAATAATCGCGCTCGAGTCTTTCCATGTGACACTTTTATACGCCTCACGTGTATGCATTTTAATAATTATTGGAAAATACACATATGTATGTACCGAATTCGACGCGCACAAGTTTTTTCTGAGGATTGATATGGCCTTTACTATGGGTTTATATACGTGTATAGCACGGGTACGTTTTAAAGTTCATGATTTCTCATTTTATGATTTTCTGGCGCTTTCGAGTAACGTATATATATTTAAATCACCCATTGGCAGAACTAGGTTTTCATAGCTAAACCGAATTTAGATGAAAAGAACCGAAGCTGCACAAAAATTTGAAGGAAGGTCTAGAATGAAGAGATTGTTGAAACTGTGAAATAATCATATTGAAATTAAAAGCTTAATAGACAAAAATATTATAATTAATATATATAATAGCAAATGCAAACACATACATATATATGCTCAAATGCAGATATTTCTTGCAAAAGAACATTATGTGCACATGCATATACATACAGTTGCGGTTCAATAATTTTAACGTGAAACCTATGTTATCATTTATACGCTAATTACAAAAGAAAAAAATGAATAAATATATTTAAAATTTAAGACATAAATGGTATCACAAAAAAATAACGACAAGATTCGGCTATCTTTAATTATTTTTTGTTTCATTTTTAAATTAGAAAGAAATATTTAAATTGATGACTACATACACATCACGTAAATTTATTTTTTTTTTAAATGCAATAGAACAAATGCCCATTCGGCAAAGGCAAACCGCATCGGATGGTCTCGTGGCTTCAATTCTTGAACCAATTGAACTTTGTACGGTGTCATACCAAGGTTTTTTTCTTCAAAATTCGCCTAAGGGACGTCTCGGAAATGTCCAATTGTTGAGAGCGACGCTTCACTGATGTTCCGGGCGCCTCACGCACACTCTCGGCCACAGCAGCGATATTACCGGCAGTACGCACTTTTTTTGGTTTCTCACGCGTTGGTTTGTGCCGGTTTCTCTCAATTTTTTCAAAAGAAAGCGCACATACGGAGCGGACGGTGCTTTGTTACGGCTCATTTCCGTGCGTATTTTTCGCACACATTTTCAAAACTGCACTATTTTAACGCGTTTCTCAATCGTATACACAACCATTTTCGTTCAGCGGAAGGATAAAACTAGCTTTCTGTCAAATCAGACTGATGTTACAGTGTTACTACACTCAAAATAACCTTTAGTTCAAAAAAAAATGTTAGATGGCGGACCCTTAATGTAAAAAAACGCATTTTCATAGAAACAGTTTTTAATTATTTTTAATCAAATTTAGTATATTTTTAACAATGCAAGATCGATAATGTAAAAAAATGAGTTTACATCGCTCCTATAAATGATGTCCCGAAAGACTATTTAGAAAAGTCGCTTGGGGCTGATCTCCATTTCGACGACTGGGATTAGCAGAATATGCTTTTGGATTCTTTATACCAATGAATTAATGACAGTATTTAACTAGAGTATAATACAAATTTTAAGCTGTTAAAAAATATAATAGTCATATTACTAGTTTGCTCAATATGGATGTGTATGACGATTAGTTACATTAGAGGGAACTTAAGTCTATTGTAGATAGCTGTAAAAATATCTTCGCATTCTAAGAAGTTTGCGAGTAATAAGTACCCCTTTAATTTGGAAGATAGCATTTTTTTGTCGTCGTTTAGGTTCAATTATTTATGATTTTAAAAAACAAATAATCAAAAAATACATATTTATTTTGTTGCGCTCCTTCTTCCATTTCAACGTCAATATCCTTCTTTTTATTTTACCAATCGGCAAATGTAATTTGACATGGTCGAAAAAAGCAGTGCTGCCAAAGTAAGTTGTGCGCTAGAATACCAAATACAATTTCGTCTATTAAAAAAAAATAACAAAATTTACTTCACCGGTAACAGTGAGAATAGGCATTATATATAGTAGGTTGTCAAAGTTCCAGATAACTTGTTCTCGTTTACTTTCTTTAAGTTTGTCACGTGGTTATTTTAGCTTGCTACATTACGCCCCGTAATGCCTCTTGCTGAACACTGTGCCAGGCTATTCTTCCGTTTAAATTTTTCTCGATTATTACACCGATCTAATGCTTCAATAAAAATGTTACCTAACAAACTTGTTCTCAAAATTTAATTATAAAAATTGTCAAACGTTGAATCCAGACCGGATCCAGAAACTCTTCTTGTGGAACAGGTCAAAACTATTTTATAACACAGGGAAATAAAACATTTTTGACGGTAGAATGGTTAATTTTTATTGCATTAAAGAATCCTTTGGTCAATATATGTAAGTTAGAAAATATTTTACAAAGCAAAAAGATGCACAAAACTGTAAAATAGGATGTGAAAGATATGCCACCCGACTCATCGATTTATCATATCTTCGTGAATTTTAAAATTGTAAAGCTCAGTTTATTTAATAACATTGAGCTACCGCTGAATTTCTTTCTTTCCGTATTCCATTTTGGGCTCCATGATCTCACAGCAGGACAGTATATACGTATTCCTTATAGATTTTCACTATAAGATGCGTTATGACTCTATTCAGCAAATAATCCCAACTCTTTGAAAAAAAAAATTAATATACTTTATGTACATATATAATTGAACAAAATGATAAGCATTCAATTGAAAGCATTAACTGAGCTTCTCTGACAATCTGAGGGCATAGAGTTCAACTTGGCGAACTTTTTGAAAACTTTTGTTCGATATCTCAGCTTTACAGCACTTAGTACCTTGCACACTTGGCAGATGAAGCTTCGATGTGGAATAAATTCTGAACGGTTGCAATGTTCTGAAATTTCTCTCCTTTTTCATTAAACTTGTGTTTGACTTTATTAGAAAACGGAAAATCATGAAGAAGAAGTTTGTGGTAGTTTCTCAAAAAGTATCAACCACAAGAAAATTTCTTTGGTATTACTGTACAAAAATTTTTAATAGTATGCAATATATATACAACTTGACAGAAAATATATGTACTTTTCACACGATTGAAAGAGGTCAAAATCCAATGAATTCTGTAAAGTCAATACCTTCGAGTGTACGTATGGAGATCATCCATTTGATGTTCGAAGCCTACTTAGAACTCCGTAGCATCGTTTGAAAATCGTGCGCTGCGTTCAATATTAGCTGAAACTTACTTTTGGTTAAATGAGTGCATTAATAAACAAAATTATAGCATTTGGAAGATCATAATACACAAGCCATAGTTGAAACGTCGTTACATTTTCAACTGTTTAGCGTGCTGTATAGGTAGAGGGTACATATTTCTTCAATGAGGAACGTTATAGAGCCATGCTTGAAGACTTGTTCGCACCTAAATTAGCGAATGTTGATAAGGAAGTCCTTTGGTTCTACCAAGATAAGGCGCCATATGCCATAGATTCAATGAAAAAATAAGTTTATTGAAGTAAACATTTGGTGATCGCATTAACTCGCGTCTGAGCCTCAAAGATCATGCGATTTAACACCGCTGGGCAACTTTTTATATTTTTTATGGGGTTATGTGACAACGCTTTAGAATAGAATTTTCGCGTAATTGCTAATATACGATCCCGATCTTTGAAAAAAAAAATTTGAGCACCTCTGCTGGAATCTATTCGTATCAGCAGCGGTGGTCACTTGCACGAAATCATTTTTAAAACATTATAACGGACCCTTAACTGTATAATAATGCTGAATTCTAGGCCACAACGTTAAATTGCATGGGTTTTATTTCTTCACAAAAACCTTGTGTCTAATATCCGAGACTCTACTGTACAGTTTTAGAACTTGAAATAAAATATTTATGTTACCTACGGTACCTTGTCGCATTTTAAAAGTTATAAACTCATAATCAAATGAGACATTTTCATTATATGAATATATATATATATAATATATGCTATGTTTTTTTTAAATAAATCTCTCATATTACATATCTATGTTTGTTTTCATATTTNTTTTTTTTTTTTTTTTTTTTTTTTTTTTTTTTTTTTTTTTTTTTTTTTTTTTTTTTTGTTGTAGTTGTTATCGATAACAATGGCCAGCTGTTAGTGCTGCTTGTTGAGAAATGTCAGTAAGAATTAGCCAATAACGAAATTGAGAGATTAAGATATTTCACTCTCCCAAAGAGTAAAATTTACTGAGTTTGCACCGAACAGAATTCTGTAAAAATTAGCTAGCAAGTACGATAATATTTAGTTATTGTGACCACAAAAATATTCCCCAAAGTAGTCTATGGAGAATGTTGACAGTCCTTCGCCGGATAAAAATTCGGATCGTTCTGGTATGAAGTTCCGATTTTAGTCATTCATTTATATCTTTAAAGTTTATTGTTCATTTTATTAATTATTTATTAATTATTAAAAATTATTATTAATTATTTTCAAAAATACTTTAAAAAACTAAATAATTAAACTTAATAATTTTATGTAATTGATTCAAATTTTATTGTATTTCAAAAATGATGAAATTTTACATGCTTCATATCCGCCAAACTATGAATTACATATCTATGTTTGTTTTCATATTTCAGAAAACAGATATGTTTTGGAGTCTATGGGATCTTACATGATAATATTCGCTTTCCAACGTATTTTTGCTTAACCCAGGTAAGTACATGAATACGTACCTACATATATGTATACATACCTAAATAATTTGACATTCATAGTGTCGACATAAAATTGTCTATTCTTGGCAAATATTCTCGACAATCTCAAAATAATCATATTGGCGTTGTTTTCACGAGCACTCGGACCAATTATTCTAAATGTGTTATGACCTACTGTAAATTATATAAAAATAAATATATTTTGAAATTTAGTTTTATTTGGCAAAAAGAAAAAAAAGTTTGCACATGTTGGGGAGTAAAATAGCAGAACAAAAATATTTAAATGTTCTTATAATTTGTTTTTAATTTATAATTTGTTTTTTCTTAATTAACTATAACTCAGTAATATATATATAAAAAGAAGCAAATAATNTTTCGTCGGAGTAAATAAGCCCACACACTTCTTGGAGATCAGTATTTTTTGATATCTCAAATAGGTTCCATTAATTATCAAATAATTAATAAATTAATGTTTGTAAAGTACACGAAATATATAAATAAAATCACCATAAAAAAAAATTATTTATGAAAAAACTTGGCACATTTTGTTATTATTAGGCTGCACATCACTTTTCGCTCCAGAAGTGTTACAGAAACCGACTTATTAAAAAAATTAGTCACTTGTGTTTTAACTCCCGCATTTGTGTTGACAACCATAAATTTGCAGCATCAACTCCAACAACAATATCATCCTTGAAATCCAACGCAGAATAACTCTAGCCAGCAGGCGCTGCTTAGGACTGAGTAAGCCATTGAAAAGTAAAGTTCTCTTTCGATGAACAAAAACCAAACTCTACAATCTTCTTCATCTTCACCTACATCATTCCCGCCCTGCTATGTGTTGCAAATACATGGACTAAAACATCATCACAGTTGCAACGAGGAGCTCGAGATATACGACCGCATTACATAGATAGTTAAGCTAATTAAAAGACAGCAGCTAGAATTAGCTCATATCGTCCGAATGGGCGAAAAACTACAGCTTTCGTCGGAGAGCTCATCGGTGGAAATAGAGGAAGAGGAAGATCTCAGATTCAGTAAAAATATCAGGTATGGAATCAAGCAATTGTTTTGAAAAAATGTTATATTATTAGGCAAGAGTGAACTTTTCAATTCCTCCTTGAACTCCCCGCACATTTGTCGGATTTTGGTATTGCTCGGATATCAAATACATAAACACCCGCAATATTTAGGTTTCACGTATACACATACATAAATTTAATTTACAGCTTACAGCCAAACTCCAAAACAGCAAAACTCGAACCCACGATTTTCCGCATAGTGGTCTCGGGTAAACCGCTTCAGCGGTTACAAAGCGCCATTTATATACATATATAAAAAATATATATAAAAATGTGATAAAAACCAATTTATGCTTACAAGGAGTAAAGCCTCAATAGCCCAGTGATTAGCATTGTGTACGAACATTCTAAAGGCCAGATTAATAACGAAGTTGGTTCAATTTTGTGAGTTGCCCAAAATTTAAAAAAAAAAATTCATAATTTTATCTGTAAAATAACGCAACACTTTCACTATAAAATTCTAATGTCCTGTATTTAATTTTTTTAAAACTAATAACAATTAAAACTTCCTGAATAGTTTTATGCCGGACAAATGTATTTTAATTTCCAAAAAAATTTAAATTGTTAAATTATATTAAATTAGGCAACTCTAACTTTTGATGACATATAATACGAATGGCATAAGAAAATAAAGTCAAAAACGTTAAAAATAATCAAAATTCTAAGCGAACTCACATTATCGCAAAATATGTATTTAATATGAAAAGAGATTTTCCCACATTTTCTTTATCTGCTAAAAAGCTTTTGGGAAATGGGTGATGTTTATCATGTGAAAATATCGTGTTTAAATATTCTAAGCGGTGAAAAAGTGCGCAGGGATTCAAGATGCAAGAGCGATTCATATTTATATTTTCTAAAAAAGTAAAACTAAGATGCGATATTATAGTAGATTCGTTAACCATTTTATGAATTTGGTGATATGAGTTTTTGAACTGAAAATTTGAAATTTTGGATTAAGAAAATCGGTTAGTTAAATATTAATATAATAATTATAACCTATGCATATGCAAGAAAAAAATATTGTATTTTTTTACTGGTACATAGGTATTAAAGCTACTGCGGTGTACCTTTTTGTAAGGCTCTTAGTCACATTTGGTTTCATCAACACAGGCTACACCTTCCACGTTGCACATAGTAAAAAATCGCCAAATCTGTGACTGCGGTGGCGTTACCAAAAATAATGTGTTTTCTTTTGTATATGAAAATTTGTACCATAACTTTTTATTAGCATCACATACATATACATATATATTTTTCAAAGGAAAATACATATATACTGTTAATGTATACATAAAGTCTCGCCCACTGTATATATGACGAAGTTGGTTTGGTGACGTCAACGGTTGTTCTAACCTTATATTCTGAAAAACCTTGAAATGTGTGCGTATGTACATATATTGTATATGTACATATGTATATGTGCTGTTGAGTACTGTGATAATTCAGTCGACATTTACGAGTTTTCTGGTAGACGTCAACAATGAACTTTTATTAAATACTGCAGGTACCTTCATTTGATGAAAACATCATTGTGCATGCCACTAATTTGAGGAGGAGCTCGACCGAAAATCGCTAAATTTATTTTAGTAGTGTTTAGTGTTTAGTGCTGATTCTTACCTTCTTAATATGCTCTACCTGCAACAGATTTAAATTTATTCACTACACACCGTAACGATGAGCGGAGAGTTCAAGAAGGGATTGAAAAGTTCACTCTTGCCAAATAAGAACAAAATTTTCCATAACATTTTTTCAAGACAATTGCTTGCTTCCCTATCTGATCTTTTTACTGAATCTGAGCTCTTTCTCTTCCTCTATTTCCACCGACGAAATCTTTGAAAGCTGTATTTTTTCGCCCATACAAACGATATCTGTCAGATATTTCGAGCTCATCGTTCCTGCTGTAATGAAACGCAGGCCAGGAATTTTTAAGGACTTATATAGTTTGGTTTTTGTTCTTCAAAAGAGGACTTTACTTATCAATGGCTTACTCAGTCCTAAGTAGCACCTGCTGGTAAGAATGATTCTGCGTTGAATTTTAATGCTGACAACATAAATGCGGGAGCTATGACGCAAGTGCGCCGATTTTTCCGAATAGGTTGGTCTCTGGCACACTTCTGGAGGGAAAAGTAGTAAGCCTACTAAACTCAACTAAAAACTACCTATATATGTACCAAATTTCAAGTAAATGGACATATAAATACGATTTTTTGCCAGTGTGAAAAATAGTAGACCTACTGAATATACTTAAAATAATTTCAAAGAATTAGTTAAGTCGCTTTGGAGGAGTGACACAAGAGTTTCATATCTTTATACAAAAAGAGGTGTTATTTTGAATGCGTAGATGTCACTTTTGAAGCTTCAAAAATATATTGAAATTATCAGAATTCACAATAAATAATCTTGACAGATGAGGCCCATTTCCACCTCAATGACTACGTCAATGAACAAAACTGTTGCATCTATGTATAGCTTCTAAAACCCAATAAGGTTGATTCTTTAAAAGCCTCTTCATCCTAAACGTGGAACTGTTGGGTCTGGCGGTGTCATTGGGCCTTACTTTGTCGAACTGTGCAATCGCTCGAAGACGTGATCGCAATTGTCAACCGAGGTTTTATCACTTTACCACATGCATCTTCTTCCTTCTTCTGGTGCTACGTGGAAGCCAGCAGGCCAAAGGTGATTCAAGACCTCAAGGATGGAAATTGTGAAGTTTTTAAGGGTATACAGCAGCCACTTTGCGATTTGGTAATGGAAAATTTCATAAAAAGGATAAAGCCCTGTAATCGTAGCTGTAGCGGCCATATGGCCGATATTTTTTTTTATTATTAATGGCATATTCTCGTCTTTATAATGAAATATCTCAAAAAATGCCATTATAGCACCTTTATGATCATCAGTTTTCTTGAACAATTTGAAAATCAGTTTTAGGATTTAAAAAATTGTTATATCTAGAGATTTTCTACATTTATTCTGGAACAATTTTGATGTATATAAAGGGTGATTTTTTAAGAGCTTTAGGAAAGTTACAAAAAAAAACACATAAAATTCAGAAAAATGCATAAAATCTCTATTTGAAGATTATTTCATGCAAATGTTGACCGTGACTGCGCTCAAATGGTCTATCCGCTTAGCTCAATTTTGGCATACTCTTTCCAACATTTCGGACGTTATCTCACGAGTAAATGCTTCAATGTTGTCCTCCAATGCGTCGATTGAAGCGGGCTTGTCTGTATAGACATTAGATTTAACATAGCTCCACAAATAATAGGCTAAAGGCGTTAAATCGCTCAATCTCGACGGCCAATTGACCAGTCCAGAACGTGAAATTAAATGTTCACCGCACTCGTTTTTCAATAAATCCATTGTTCCGCATGCCGTGTGGCATGTGGCACCGCCTTGTTCAAACCACATGTAATGCATGTCAAGTTCTTGCATTTTGGGCAAAAAAAGTGTGATATCATCTCACGGTAGCGCTGATCATCCACAGTGACGTTGCGATTCGGATTATCCTTGAAGAAGTACGGTCCAATGATGCCACCAGCACATGAACCGCATCAAACTGTGCCTTTTTCTGGAAGCATTGGTAGCTTTTCCAATGCTTCTAGCTGATCTTCACTCCGAAAACGACAATTGTCGCTGAACACAATTTTTCGATGAAAAAAATGGTTCTTCGGCCAACTTTCCAAGATTCTACGTTGCGGTAGATCAATCGGCTTCAATTCTTTCACTAGCTATATTTTGAAAGGCTTCACACTTAAATCCTTCCTTCCGCAAAATTTACCAACTTCTTGAAAAACAGAGGCCCAATTGCTGCGAAAGGCGATGAATCGATAATTGATGGTCATCATTAACACTGCCCGACACAGCGTCACAATTTAGTCACAATAGCCCGGATAGTAGCTTCAGTCGGTCGATT